TGTTGTCGTACTATAATTGTTAAGTTTAATATAATTACCTTCAAAATTTTAAATAATTTGACCTTAAAAAAAAAAAAAACACCTATAACGATGATTATTAGTAAAACTTGGAACCCCCACTGGGGAGACCCCCAGGACTCCAGTGGAGCGTGATTAGTCAAAAAAATATTTTTTTTTTTTTCTCAAATCACTAACCCCACGTGTGTAGGGGGTAGTGGAAGTGGGAGACAGTGGGGGTCTCTATCATGGTTGCGATGAATATATATGTACACGTAAGAGTCACACAAATTATATCATATATTTTATTGGTTAAAAAATCTTCAATCAAAATGAATCAACTGAGTTAGCTCAATTGACTATTGCTGTTTACTTCTATTTAAGAGGTCCAAGGGTCAATCTTTCTTAAGATTGATTATTTATCCCTTATTACGGAGTTGTATGTAGTTATTTATTTATTTTTTTCAAATTTAAATTAGGGGTAAATTACATTGACATCCATTGAGATTTGGTCTAATTACATCCTACCCTCTGACGTTCTAAAAATTACATTCTCACCCCCTATGGTTAATAGTCTCATTTTACAAACCCCTACTTATATAAAAGGCAATAACTCCTAGCAAAAAAATAGACAAAATTACATTGAAAAAATAAATAAATAATCCTTCGTAGCTCGAAATTCTTTTGCCCCGAATGGCTAAACTTTTCTTTCTTTCTTTCCCTCTTATATCTCTGAAACAAACGAAGAGACGAAGAGAGAGAAGAGAGAAGAGAAACAGAAACAGAAAGAGAGAAGAGGAAGGGGGAAGAGAGAGAGAGCACTTGTCTCTCATTGCCGAATGGCTCGATTGCCGCCGCCATCATCAAATCACAATCGTCGGGGGAAGAGAGAGAGCACTCGTCTCTCTTTTGCCGAATGGCTTGATCGCCGCCGCCATCATCAAATCACAATTGTCAATCGCCGCCTCCAATCTTCGATTCTTCTCCACCGCCCGGCCACAACTAGTCCGGTCAAACACAGATATGTTCCCTCTTCTCTCTCTTTCTCTTTCTCTTCTTCTCTCCTCTCTCTTCTTTTGTCTATTTTAGGATATAAGAGGGGGAAAAAAAATATTTCGCAAAATCTGTGTATGATGGTGATGTGTTGGGAAAAAAAATCAGCTGATAATGATGTGTTGTTAATGATGATGATGTGTGGTGATGATGATGATGATGTGTTATTAATGATGATGATGATGCCGACTAGAAGAGAAAAAAAATTTTGAGCTTGATTTCAGTTTAGTGATTGTGAACAGAGAGAGAGAGAAGAAACATATGAGAAAAGAGAAAGAAAGGGGGGGGAAAAACCAAAACGACGTCATTTTGGATTCGAGCCATTTCGGCCAAGTGTTTTTCGAGCTACGTAGCAGCGCTGGAAAAAAAAAATAAAGCAAAGGAAAGGGGAAAAAAAACAAATAAAGTAAAACAAAACAAGAAAAGAAAAAATACATGAGTTCGATATTTTCATTCTATCTAAATAATTTCAATGACAGGAGGATTAGTATACTTTCCCAAACAGTAAGGGGTGATATATATTAAACTCAAACCTCAAGAAGTGTAAGTATAATTTACCCTCAAATTATTTCTTGTCGTGGTTGTTAGATTTCTAACTAGGCATTATTAGACTTTTAATTATCCAGTTTAATATAATTCTCCTAATATTTGTAATTAATTTTTTTTTTTTTTTAAAGTCTTTAATAAAAATGAGTTAGCAATTAAGAGTAAACTCAAGATCGAGAAGAGGCAGAAAATTGATAGTACATGTACGTCCATGTGAATGAAACAAACGCGAGAGAGTTGCATGGAAATGAGGGCAAATGGCATCAGCAACAGCAACTTAACCTTAGCTTCATTCTACTCTTGTTGACTTTTTGACTTTTGAATAATTAAATTCAAATGGCAAAATAATAATTTTATCCTTTAAACTTCCTCCACAAATTTCTCGCAAATAGTATGATTTTTTTAATTTTTTTAATAATTTTTTAATTTTTTAACTTTTGTAAATTATTCCAAACCAATTACCAGCTAGGTTGGGAATTCAATTTGTCCCACAAAAACACCGGAGTAGCACATTTAACGAAAAATTACAGACACAAGAGAGAGGCAATGTTTCAGCAAACAACAATGTTAGTGATTCAAAACTTTTATTAAATTTTATATCAAATATTTTGCATAAGTATAGGATTTACACAGCGTGATTCTCATATTCATATGACATATTTGATAAAAGTTTTACAATCTTTAGCAAATATCATACGATTTTGAAAACATCTTAAAAGAACGTGTATGTCAGCACATGAGTGCTCCCTTACACTGTGTTTGGTTGGGAGATTTAGGGAGAGATTTGAAAATGGAGAGAAAAAAGTTAGGTGAAATGTGAATAAAATATACTTACATTTCACCTAGTTTCACATATCTTTTCCATTTTCCTTTCCAACTTTCCTCTCCAAATCCTCCAACCAAACACAGCATTAACAATGAAAAATTAGTTGGTGGTATTCAAGGCCACCACATACATTTGCTCCCGAGCAAATGATGAATTCCCCTTAAAAAACTTAATATGCTCTATTATGGTATTGTGTCACAGTGGTAAACTCACCAACTTTCATACTCAAAGTTGCAAGTTTGAGCCCTATATTGGAAGGTGATCACTTTTTCCTTTCCCCTTTAGATTTAGATTACAGTAAGTTCTAACAAGTCCGATCTAAAAAATAAAATAAAAAATAAATCAATATACTCATAAATACTACTTAGTTTTCATTGAATGAAGCTAATTTTTGACAAAATTCGCACAGGAAAAATAATTTTAAAACAATTTTTTTGTATAAAGAATGCATTCAAATATGATGTGATAATAACATTTCCAAAATTATAAACCATAATGACGGTATTTTGATTTAAAATGAAAGTCTCACGAATGGTTAGATTATTTTTTGTATGAAAATTTTGTACAGAGATTATGTTTACATATATTACTCTCTGCATAAGCAGCAAATTTGAACCTACAACTTCAAAACTAGTAGATCAAATGTTAACTATTTAATATTGTAGTTTTAGAACATGAATTAAGTTCAATGCTTGCAAGCCACATCATACACATGGATATGATTTTGAAGTGTTGATACCACATAAGCCTACAAGCTTTAGACTTAAATATATTTTGCCTATGTCTACAATGGAATCAGTTTGATTAGTTTTGTAGGCGACTCTTGTACGCCTTAGTACATTCTAATGGGAAAGTTAAGCAGTCAATCTTGATAAAAATATAAAGATTGATACTGTATTTTCCATTATGAAAATTTTTTATTGTACAGCGTTTATTTTCCCCTATTTTTTTTCTTATTTTTGTTGATGTTGGATGTTGGGTGTATAGATTTATGTTGTCGTACTATAATTGTTAAGTTTAATATAATTACCTTCAAAATTTTAAATAATTTGACCTTAAAAAAAAAAAAAACACCTATAACGATGATTATTAGTAAAACTTGGAACCCCCACTGGGGAGACCCCCAGGACTCCAGTGGAGCGTGATTAGTCAAAAAAATATTTTTTTTTTTTTCTCAAATCACTAACCCCACGTGTGTAGGGGGTAGTGGAAGTGGGAGACAGCGGGGGTCTCTATCATGGTTGCGATGAATATATATGTACACGTAAGAGTCACACAAATTATATCATATATTTTATTGGTTAAAAAATCTTCAATCAAAATGAATCAACTGAGTTAGCTCAATTGACTATTGCTGTTTACTTCTATTTAAGAGGTCCAAGGGTCAATCTTTCTTAAGATTGATTATTTATCCCTTATTACGGAGTTGTATGTAGTTATTTATTTATTTTTTTCAAATTTAAATTAGGGGTAAATTACATTAACATCCATTGAGATTTGGTCTAATTACATCCTACCCTCTGACGTTCTAAAAATTACATTCTCACCCCCTATGGTTAATAGTCTCATTTTACAAACCCCTACTTATATAAAAGGCATAACTCCTAGCAAAAAAATAGACAAAATTACATTGAAAAAATAAATAAATAATCCTTCGTAGCTCGAAATTCTTTTGCCCCGAATGGCTAAACTTTTCTTTCTTTCTTTCCTTCTTATATCTCTGAAACAAACGAAGAGACGAAGAGAGAGAAGAAGAGAAACAGAAACAGAAAGAGAGAAGAGGAAGGGGGAAGAGAGAGAGAGCACTTGTTTCTCATTGCCGAATGGCTCGATTGCCGCCGCCATCATCAAATCACAATCGTCGGGGGAAGAGAGAGAGCACTCGTCTCTCTTTTGCCGAATGGCTTGATCGCCGCCGCCATCATCAAATCACAATCGTCGGGGGAAGAGAGAGAGCACTCGTCTCTCTTTTGCCGAATGGCTTGATCGCCGCCGCCATCATCAAATCACAATCGTCGGGGGAAGAGAGAGAGCACTCGTCTCTCTTTTGCCGAATGGCTTGATCGCCGCCGCCATCATCAAATCACAATTGTCAATCGCCGCCTCCAATCTTCGATTCTTCTCCACCGCCCGGCCACAACTAGTCCGGTCAAACACAGATATGTTCCCTCTTCTCTCTCTTTCTCTTTCTCTTCTTCTCTCCTCTCTCTTCTTTTGTCTATTTTAGGATATAAGAGGGGGAAAAAAAAATATTTCGCAAAATCTGTGTATGATGGTGATGTGTTGGGAAAAAAAATCAGCTGATAATGATGTATTGTTAATGATGATGATGTGTGGTGATGATGATGATGATGTGTTATTAATGATGATGATGATGCCGACTAGAAGAGAAAAAAAAATTTGAGCTTGATTTCAGTTTAGTGATTGTGAACAGAGAGAGAGAAGAAACATATGAGAAAAGAGAAAGAAAGGGGGGGGGGGGAAATCAAAACGACGTCATTTTGAATTCGAACCATTTCGGCCAAGTGTTTTTCGAGCTACGTAGCAGTGCTGGAAAAAAAAAATAAAGCAAAGGAAAGGGAAAAAAAAACAAATAAAGTAAAACAAAACAAGAAAAGAAAAAGTACATGAGTTCAATATTTTCATTCTATCTAAATAATTTCAATGACAGGAGGATTAGTATACTTTCCCAAACAGTAAGGGGTGATATATATTAAACTCAAACCTCAAGAAGTGTAAGTATAATTTACCCTCAAATTATTTCTTGTTGTGGTTGTTAGATTTCTAACTAGGCGTTATTAGACTTTTAATTATCCAGTTTAATATAATTCTCCTAATATTTGTAATTAATTTTTTTTTTTTTAAAAAAGGTCTTTAATAAAAATGAGTTAACAATTAAGAGTAAACTCAAGATCGAGAAGAGGCAGAAAATTGATAGTACATGTACGTCCATGTGAATGAAACAAACGCGAGAGAGTTGCATGGAAATGAGGGCAAATGGCATCAGCAACAGCAACTTAACCTTAGCTTCTCAGCCCAACGAAGGCCCCACATATTACAGACTCCTGAGGTCCCAACCCTAGGTATATGTTTGGATGCCTTCCTCACTGTGCACACAAAGAAAAGATAACTTTATATCTATATGTTATGCATATGTATATATAATTGTTATTATTATTATTTTGAGAGAGAGACAGAGAGAGAGAGAGTGGGCTTAATCCTCTTGATGTTTCATTTGAATGCCATCAAATCCTCCTTACACCACTTGGGAATGTGCTCTCTTATTCAAAGAAAAGTCTTGTAACATATAAATTGAACATAAAATGTATATTTTATTCACTTTCCTCATATTTTTTAATTCTCTTTTCTCTACTCAAATTCACGATTCTACTGTGACCTAAAAATATCCTTCCAAATACAAAAAGTGTTAAGAGACGGTTCAACAAGAAATAATAGATATCATCAATTTGGTTGTCAAGTCATTGACTTTACCCAAAAAGACCAGTGGTGTATATTCCCTCTACTATTTGAGATGCAATGCTAAATGGCCATGAAAGCAACCATACGAGATAACTTATCCTTCATAGGACAGTCAAATTTCACAATAGTGGGGGGATTATAAACATGAAATCCGACTATACGATTCTTCGTGAATGGGTTACCATTAGAATGATGTTACAGAATCAATAATAAAAACCAGTGAAAAAAAAATGAGGTTTCTCACCCACACGACAAGTTTTTGTGTAAAGCATGGATCTCTTTAGTTTGGTATCTATCCACCCTTTGCCGGCAATTGAACTATCAAACAACTAATGTGTTAGCAAATTGTCCTAGCAAGAGGAAGAGGTAATTGGTTGATGAGAATATTGAAGTCAACACAGCCAAAAAAGACACTCCCAAACTAACTGGAAAAGAAGATTTTTGGGCAGTGGCATTCAAGTCCAGAAGTCCAGTGAAAAATAACCTAGTTGTGAGAATGCAGCTAGTTATTATGCTCAACTAATCCAAAGATTCCAAACCCCAGAACAAAAGCAAAATATTATTGCATTCTGAGTAATTTAACTCATCTAGAAGCAACAAAGGTTCTTCTCCAAAGAATTTGAATATATAATTAGCACAAGGGCCATACTTCACAACAACCAGGTATAGATAATGCTAAAATAGTTAAAATCTCAGTACTTTTCACATATTTTTATACACTTTTTACATGCACTTCAACACTAATGCAGTCTTTTACACCGACTAGAAGTTCAGGAGGGGGGGGAAAAAAAGCAAGGGTTTACCAATGCAATTTTTTCCACAAAAAGTAGAGTGTGCAATGTGACTCATGAAAGGGTTCTGTATGCATCAATACCATCTATACCTAGGCTAATTATATCGATGACACTGCCAAGTCTATGTTACAGTGATTCAAACCAATAGGACAGTTCATGGTCGATGAAGGAGCTTCAAGAGATAAGGAATCAAAATGGTATCAACAAATTACAAGACTATGACTCGTTTACACAACTGGAAATGGAGGACCGAGTGGAAGAGGTCAACTGTGAGTAAAGAGAAACAGTACCACCCAAAGAAAAGAGAAGATAAAAATCAAATTCAAAGGTAAAAATGATGGTTTCCTCACAACTTGTAACATTTTTTGTCACATCTTTCCCACGTTATGTCTCCTGACTCACACATTCCCTGACCCCATCTATCACTATCCCTTGCCGACCACATTTCTGGTGTATATATTTGTGGCCTATGTTACTTATCAGTTTTCCTTCAAGAACCTGGTAAAAGTTGTGGTCTAAATTAAGTACTAAAGTTGAATTCTTCATTTTCATTGGTTGTATTTTTTTGTTTTTATTTTTTTATTGTGTATGAAAATAACTTGTTTGTGTTTCTTAAACAGAGCTGTTTTCTTAAAATTTTCTCAAAAATAATTTAACAAACAAGTTTAAAGCTGTGTTTGATAATGTCATTAGTTTTTACTTTTCATCCCTTTTTTTTCTTTTTTTTTTGTGGGAAAAAACAAATATAAAAACTTGTTTGGTGTATCCAATAATCTTAAAAAACAAATAAAATAAAATAACATGCATGGTGAGTTGTCAATGATGATGACAAGTGATAGAGGATGAGAGAAGGGCGGCAAGGGTCACAAAGGGTAGCCAGAAGAACAACAATGATAGAGAGCTCTAATTTTGAAACTCTAAAGACAGCTCTAGTGATGTGACAAGAAAAAAAACAAAAACAAAAATAAAAACATACACACACATCACATCATATGTGGACCCTACTCCTTGTCACATCACTAGAACTCTCTTTAGAATTCTAAAATTAGAACTCTCAATCTTTATTCCCAAAAGAATGTCGAAAGTCATGAGTGGCCAAAGGATTATTAGAATTTACTATCATCAAAAGTCACTAGAGGATGCCCGAATGATGATCAGAGGTCACTCCACAAGTGCCGAGGTGGTGGGAGAAAAAGGGAATTTTTAAAAATAAAAGATAATACCTAATTTTTTATTCCAAAATTTTGAAAAAAAATTCAAATTGTTGTTACTTTTATTTTTGTTTATTTTTTTAAAAATTCAATAAACGTGTCGTGTTTTCAATTTCCAAAATTTTCTAAAATGGAAATAGAAAATAAAAAACTACCAAATGAGGTGTGTTCCAAAAAAATTTAAAAAAAAAAACAAAACAAAACAAAAAAAACAAAAACAACAACAACAAAATGAAAACACAACCAAATATACTTCAAGGATAGATGGCATTGTAAGTTACTAACAAAACTAGTCAATTGCATCACCAGTCACCAAGATAGTTGTGTACAAAGAAAAATGCGACTCTAATACAAACATAGAATATACATTTTATAATCTAAAACATTATAAATCCAAAAACCCAACCAAGAAGCTCCCATTATTCTTTGTAACATTCATCTTTCTAAATCATTATGCAAATAAGTTTGATCTTACTAAATTAACATAATATTTAATTATTATTACTACCTATGTAGATATACATCTATATTATGTTGGGAACTCTAATATTTCTTTTATGGTCTTACATTTACTACATTCTTTCTAAACATGTTTTAAATAAATACCGTACATGTTCTTAAGTCTTAAGACAATCGCATCAACAAAAAAACATTTGAATTCTAACTAATATGGTTTTAGATATAATATAACAATATTTGCATGCATTGATACATAACAAGTCTAGATTTCTCAACCCCTCAAAACAAAAATATCAGTTCTGCCCCTCATACCTCGTTAAATTTAAGGCTTTACCTACCTTGTTATTTATATATGTACTACATATCATAAACATTTCATGAACCTGACTCGCACATAATTTGTACAGCTTCAGTGATTAGTATAACCTTGTAGCAAGTAATGAGCACAACATGACAAGCAAATGATAGCAATATCTGAAATGGATAAACAGACATGCATTCAACTTCAAGATGCACATTAATAACATGAATATCAAACTAACATGTTTTATCATCAAATATAGATGGAGACGATGAACTATTTCTCGTATACATTTTCCCTAGATATTGATAATTTCAACCATTAATTCCAATTGACTAGGCAGAGGCAAAATACTTTGATACTTGGACGTCAATTGTTCGGTTTGGCATAAGCATATTTGTTAGCACACTAAGTACAACAAACTGACAAAGAAGTTTGCGATTTTCCCAACTTGAATAACCAATACCACAACTACATTAGTGTTGTTAATGTCTTACTATTCACATCATGATACATACAATTTCATATGTTTAGAGGTAAAACATATTTTATGAAAATAAATACTGTTAAAAAGGTTCATTTACTTACCAAAAATTTTCTTGTAAGGAAGGTTGACTACAATGAATTTTTTTATTTTTTTCTTTTGTTTTTGTCTACTTTTTATCATATATATATATATATATATATATATTTGTCTGGTTTTAAGTATCTTATGCCAATGATAAGCCCACTTACGTGAGGTGAAGTTTAAAAGTTTTCTATTAAAAACAAAATATTTTAGATATTAAAAATTGTAATTTAATACTAAAAAGCATGAATACTTCTAACACGGTGTTTATGTTGTGTCCATGTTCGACGCATGTCCGACACCAACACTTCATCGGACAAATGTTCAAATGTGTCATATTATTTTGTAACCTCTTTTAAAACTAGAAACACTTCGGAGACTCATGAAACACACTATAAGTTTAAACAAAATAACTTGAATAATACAATGATAAAAGAAAATTAATATAGATTTATAATTATTGATCCCTCCTTTAAACTTTAGGAATTGGTGTTATATTGCATTTTTTTTTAATCTTTGAAGAAATATTCACGTATATGATATATAATATTATATATTTTGTATGTGTCCTACACATATCATGTTTGACATTTTTTAAAAATTGACATGTCATCTTGTCTGTATCGTATCGCATGTCTGTATTCATACTTCTTAAATCAAAATCAAACTTAGTGGGTGTTTGGAAAGTTGCTATTTTAGTAAGCTATTTTAATTTTTGGCTATTTTAAGAGGCTAAAATTTTTGTGTTTGGAAATATAGGAGTGTTTTGGGAAGTTGATAAAAAGCTGGCTTTTAACTTTTTATCAAGTTTTTTGGCCTTTTTGGAGGTGATTTGGAAAGTTGGTAAAAAGCTGACTTTTTTTATTTTTGGTTTAATATTTATTTATGGCATCAAATCAAAATAGAATGACCAATGTACCCTTGCCAAACTTTAGAATTTTAGGTAATTTGTTAACATGGAGGGTATTTAGGTAATTTCACAAGGCAACTTTTTTGTCACTTGCCAAATGCAACAGCTGGCGTTTTTGGCAAGGCAGCTTTTTTTTCACAAGCCAAAAACGCAAATGGCACATAGTTAGATTTTTTTGTTGTTAGATGTGATGTTTGTGAGAAAAAGTAAAATAATTATGAGTTTGATGTGACATTTTATCTTATTGGCTATTTTATTTTGTCTTTTAGTGCTATTTTACCCAAAAAAAACCAAAAAAGTTTCTTCCCAAACACTCCCTAATTGGTTTGTTAAGACAATATGCAAAACATATTAGACAATTATTAAGGACTTTTTTTTTCTATTGTTCTTTCCTATTTCATTTCACTTCCTTATATATCAATATGAAATGGGAATAGAAACATTTGATATATTACCTAGTAACCAATACATTTGCTTTCTAGCATGTGTTTAAGGGGTTGTTTGGGGTATCCTAAATAAGTGTACTTTTTGTCTTTTTGGACTAAAAAATTGAGGAAACAAATATGGATATTTGGATTAACTTTTTGACTTTTTTATGAAAAAATGTATTAAAAAATTGTATAAATTAGTGTGTAGAGTAAAATTAGGATTGGAAGTTGTGCAACTGTAATTTTTGACTTTTGGTGAATAGTGATAACTTTTTAACTTTTTGAGTAACTTTTTGACTTTTTAACTTTTTTTCAACTTGCCAAACTTGGCCTAAATCTTTAACTTCAAAAGCATATACTAAAAATAATGAAACTTATTTGATGAAAGGATAGTAATGCACTGAAGTTTCATACCTTTTGTTGCATTTGTTTTATCTTCACTATTCATTTTATATTGTATTCAGTTTTAATGCATGCACACCTTTGTTTTTGAGTTTGGTTTGTGTTTCCCAAAAATTTTTGAAAAAAATTCTCTACAAATAAGTTTTCAAAAGTAATCAAACTAAACAAATTTTCCCAAAAAAATTTCCCAAAACTTGTTTGGTTTGTAAGTTTTCCAAACAAATCTCTCTCTCATACACATCAAATCAATCACTTTTTCCCAAACTCTCTCAAAATAATTTTCCAAAACATCTTTTGAAAAAAACCAAACCAAACAACTTTTCGTACTTTTTATCTCTAAAACTCATCTCCCAAACTCAAACCAAACATACCCTTAATTTCTGCCATGTTACTAATTACACATTGTTCCATGTTTTGTTATCAACAGATAGTTGTATTTTCTATAAATGTACTTATTTGTTTACCTATTTTTAAAGATGTTAAAAAAGTTTACATGCATGTTATGATACGCTGCATGATTTGGAAAAACAGATAAACATCTCCGTATCTTGAATTGACAACTATGAACTATATTATGACATTCATTTGCAATTGTAAGAAATACTTCTGGAGTTTACAAATGCAGACAATACGGTATTATCCTAAAACTGATCATGGCAACATTTTCCTCTAAGAAAAAAATCAATTTTAAAAAATTTGGCATTAGAACAATGCAGCATGGAATTTGGGAAAAAAGGTTACAGAGGACTTACATTGCTGTAATTTCTAGCAGGTGCATATATTCATGGAATGTATTCTCGCAACTATACAAAGAGAGTCAACTGGCTATGGTGCTACTATTTCGTGTAATAGTTTTCCTCTCCCTCATCTAACTCATTTTCTAATATCTCCTCCTCTGGTAGTTCAAAATCATCAACCTCTTTAAAGTAAGCTCTCTGTTCCTCAATAAATTCTTGTGGCAAGGCATGTTCTGAAACATCTTGCTCCAGCAATACCCGGCACCTCTTCTGCAAAACACATCTCACGCAGATTAAACTGCTAACCGAAAAACCATCAATGCAGGATCTGACAAAGGAACTACATACTACAGCACAAAGGAAATATTTAGGCTGAGTTTATATCCATGGATTTGGATAGTGATTTGGAAAGGGAAAGAAAGGTGAGGCAAATGTGAATGAAATATAAGCTAAAAAAAATTTCCTATTACCCTTTCTCTTGCCAAATCCATGATCCAAACACAATGTTAGAGAGTGATAGAGTATGTGGTATGACTAAAGGTAAATTGGACCGGAGGATCACCAGTTAGCAAAGTTGTACTACATTGGTCATTTTCTTCATACGAAGAAGATCAAAGCACAAATGGTCGGCATCAGTAAATCAACCGTTAGCAACGTTGTACTACATTGGTCACACACAATACTTTCATTTCACAGCAGAGTTTCAGAGAGAGAGAGAGAGGAAAGCGTAAGGGATTGTTTGTGATCAGAAAGCCGAAAACCAAAATAAAAGAGTAAATTACAATATCAGTTCAAAATGAAGAAAACATGTACAAGACTAGACAATTGCTTTAGCAAACCTTTTTATGTTTTGCAGGAGGAACTTTGCACGATTTAGATAGACCAATTTTTCCAGCTTCATTAAATTCATTCCTATTTCAGAGACAAGGAATGTACAAGATAGCATCAGTATAAATGGTAAACATGAGCAGGGTACATATAGGAAAGACACTACTAAAATCAGAGTCATTTTAGCCCATATATTTCTAATTATTTCAATAACCACAAATTCCTTCTGATTGTCAGTCTATATCACCCATAGGCACAAGCAAGACACAAAAAACCTAGAACAAAACATTTCATCCACCATGCATCATATGAACTAACAAATTTCCACTGTAGAGGGAGCATGGGGGATAAGACCATCTTTCAATGTCTTTCGATAGGATGTTTAGTTTTCACCAAAAAAATGACAGTTCCTTTTGCTGCAATGACTGATGGTCATATTGTGGGCACACTATCTTTTTGCAACTAGGTTGTCAATTGAATGTTTACAACAATTGCAGTATTTCATGCTTTCAAAAACTATGAGGTCTGTGGATGTCCAATTTTCTTTTTTTCTCAAAAAAATAAGAATGAGTATTTTCAATTGCAAATTGTATGAAATAGAGAGAACTCAAGTCGAAAACAATTTGGCTGGATACAAAAAAATACATTCATCAAAATTCAAAATATAAATTTCAACAATGGAGTACACTTGTACAATGAGTTACATATTCTAATAACATACTACTTATGATAGTCTCTAATGAAAAATACAAATTCCAATCTACCCCAATAAAGCTATCAAAAGCCAGCTGTAATAATATCATAATAGTGCAGCGTGTGCAGGAGAGAGAGAGAGAGTGTGTGTGTGTGTGTGTTACCGTCTCCTCCTGGTCCTTGGCAGGGGTGGGCAAGGAGTAGCAATTGCCTTCCCTTCATTCCTTGTATTCACCAGAGAACGGAAACTGATAGGCACAGAAACAGCGTTCTCTCTATCCTTTGTTTTTCCCAGAGAGGAGAAACTAGGAGGTACGGCGACGGCCTTCCCTTTATCTTTTGTTTTCAGCCGAGGCGGGCAAGAAACAGACACAGATTCAAACTTATCATTGGTTTTTTGTAGAGGGGAGCAAGTAAAAGGCACAGCAACTGCCTTCCCATTTTTCTTTGTTTTCTCTATAGTCTGTCTTCGACTATAAACTACAAGAGGCTCGTCTGCCTCTTCACTTCCATTACCTTGAGAAAAAAATAAAATAAAATAAAATACCAAAATATTAGTTCATGAATTACTTTTTCTTTCTTTTGTTTAGAAACAAACAATGCACATTACATCACACCTCAATAATTCAGCAGTTCACACTTAATATAGTATATTACACCCAACTCTTCATAGTTATTCAACTGACCATTAAACACCTTGGCTGTGTTTAGATCATGGATTTGAGTAGGGTTTTGTGGAGGGTTAAGAGACAGAACTAGAGGAACAAAATTCAAACAATTTGAAACTGATAAATAAATTCATCATCATCATCATCATCATCATCATCATCATTCTAAGTTAACCATTACACATATGATACTCACTGATGCTCAATTAAGAAGATTAAACCATGGAAACCCCTAATTTCCACAAATTCCAAATCAAGCCACAATTGAAACACAAATGAACATACATACATATATATATATAGAGAGAGAGAGAGAGATATTACCAGGAATGGAAATGGAAAGCGGAGAAGGGGTTGAAGGATGGGTTTTGAAGGTGGTGCTAGGGTTAGGGTTGTGGTTGGATGATCCGATGCTGGTGTCGGAATTGGTGTCTGGATTGTAGGGTTTGGAATTGTAGGGTTTGGAATTTGGAAATGGGGGTGTAGTGGAGAGGGAGGAAGAGAGCTTGCCAAGGATGGTGGAGGTGGGGATGAGGAGGTTGGTGCTGTCAGACAGGGGTTTTCTCTTTGGTGATGATGAAGATGGTGATCTGCTTGTCTCTACTCTCTCAGCTTCCATTACTCTCTCTGCTTTAGGACAGGGTTCCGAGTGAGAAAATACACAGTTGAAGAGAGACAAAGAAGGGGAAAGCGTGGTGTAGTGCGGCGTTGCGTTGTGTGGAACAAGCTAAATTTTCAATTGGCGGGAAAATTGAAAACACAGACAAAGGGAGTCTCTACTCTTCCTTCGTTTGAGAAGTAGTTTTTTTGTTTGGATTAAAAAAATTTGTTTGAGATGAATTTTTTAATTTTTTTAGCTTTTATAAAAGAAAAAATAAAATAATTATAAATTAAGTATGACATTTTATGTTATTATTTTTTAATTTATTTTGACTTTTTGTGATTAAAATAGCCTCCAACTTACATGTCAAACATAGTCTGTCACCAAATCATGATGAGCCCAAGGGGTGTGAGCCAACCCAAATCTATAATGGCCCAAAAATTCACATCCTAAACCAAAGATGGGAAAATTACTATATAGTCTTATGTAGGAGATCTATTTCTCTTCTAATTCCACTACATTTTTGATAAACCAGCAAGTCCATAGTTTTGTAGGTTTCGTAATTGGAGGTCCTGTTTTTATATTTTTATTTTTGTAAATGACTGTGTTGCCCATTTGATTTGAGATATATATATGTGTGTGTGTGTGTCTAGAAAATCAAATTTTAGACTTGTGGATATCGCTTATGCGACGTCGGTTTTGTCTTCGATCTCAATCTCTCTCTATAAGGTCGATCTCTTTGTGCAATCTGGATCTTTGTGTGCAATCTCGATCTGTGTGTGTTTTGCGATCTCTCTGTGTTGCAAATCTTTGTGTTTGCGCAATCTCTATGTACGTTCTCTCTCTCTGTCTCTTTATCTCTCTCTCTCTCTGTCCGTGTCTCTCTATCTCTTGATATATATATATATGTATGTATATATATATAAGCAAATTTGCGTGATCTCTAGTTCGTGTTCGTCAATTTTGTTATAGTTCTCTGTTTTGTAATAAATATTGTTTGTTTGATACTTATTTTGTGATATTTGTATGTGATATAGTGTAATGATTTGGAATTTTTTTTATTTTGTTTATTGTATAGTGTAATGTATTTTGAATTTGTAGTTGGAAATTGTGAATTCTGAAGTTTTGATTCTGATATGTTGTAACTGTATAATTTTGCAGGTTGGACTCCGTAATCAATTGTTTACTGATTTGTGATTTGTAATATGGAGGGGTGTTTCATGTTAATGCGCAAATACAGTAAAGCTAAGTTTGGCATCCTTTAAAAAAGTCAAAAAGTCATTATCCTATTTAAGTCACATCATCTTATTTAAGTCACATCACATCTCTACTATATCACTTCAAACCCAACTCATATTTCGTAAAAAGTCAAAAAATGCACTTATTTAGAACATCCCAAACAATCCCTAAGTCTTGTATTGCTATTAAGATTAGTGAGGGATGAGTTACGATAAAGTTGTTGAGAAAATATGTGCGAAGTTCAAGGAGTTGAGAATTGATAACTTTTGTTTGTATTTATTCATTTTTGGATATTCTAATTGTATTGTTGGAAGTGATAATGATTTGGGAAATATGCTGTCAATGGTAGCTTTTGGCGTTTCTCATGTTGTTGATGTTGTTGTGGATGATAGGAGAATTGTCGAGATCGATGATAATTCTTCTATGATTGATTTTGTAGTTTGTGAGAGTTTTTTAGCTAACAATTGTGATGATTTTGGTGGTTTGTTGCCTAGTTTTTGTCCAGAACCAGAGAGAGTTTTGTTGTCTACAAGTTGGAAGAAAATTATACACATTGTTGCTCAAGAATTTGATAGTGGAGTGTTAGCATTTCGCATTACATTGGCTAAGTATGCGGTTGAGTGTGGCTTTGTAGTGAATTATTTGAAGAATGATGCAACAAAAGTAACTTCTAAATGTATCATGAAGTCATCTACGGGTTGTAAGTGGTTTGTGCATGGAAGGATGTTAATGAATTCTAGTATTTTTTTATTATTATTATGAAGTTGGATAATGTGCATACTTGTAGGGTTATTGCTCATAGATCTTGTAGCAAAATGATTGGTTCTAGACTTATCTCTGATATTGTGCATAATGGCATTAAGTGATAATCCATTTACTCGTCCTATTAAAGTTTTTTTTTTAAAAAAAGTTGAAGAAGTAATATGGTATAGTTGTTTCTTATCGGGTTGCATAGTTAAGAGTTGATAAGGCAAGAGGTGGGTTGTTTAGTGATTTTGCAGCTTCTTTTGACCAACTTTGATAGTACCTTGAGACGGTATGAGAATGAATCCCGAAAGTGTGTTTGAATTAGATGTGGATAAAAGTAGTGGGTGTTTTTGGAGGTTCTTTGTGGCATTTCATATATGTTTGTATGGATTTCAATTTTGTTGTCCTTTGTTGTTTATTGATGGTACATTCTTGAAGGGGCGTTACAATGGGCATTTGTTTGCAGCAATATCAAAGGATGGTAATCAAGGTACATATTTATTTGCAGTTAGTATAGTTTGGTTTCTTAGTGTGTTTTGGTAGTTTGTGGATTTTGATTTCTGTTATTGTATTGTGAGACTGCTAATTTTTGTAGTTTCATTTTTTTTTTAGGCCTGTTTCTTTTGGCTTTTGTGATTGTTGATGCTAAAAATCAAGATAATTGGATGTGATTTTTAAGTCAATTGTTGAAGATTGTTGGTTCGAGTCAGAGATTGACCTTTGTGTCCGACGGTCAACATGGATTACTAGATGCTCTTGCAGTGATTTTTCCCAATGAACATCATGCATATTACTTGAACCATTTAAAGAGAAATTTGACTGACAAATTGGTAGGACTTTGTACTAACTATAAGCTGACTTTGATGAAAATATTAGTTCAATGTGCTTATGCATCAACTGTTGTTTCTTTCCAACATTATATGGAGAAATATTACCAAGAATGGTAGAGTTAATAGTATGTTGGATGGTTTGCAAAATGATAAGTGGGTAAATGTATTTTTTTAGAGGGAAACGATATAGTGAGATGTCATCTAATGCTGTTAAGTCTTGCAATAATTGGATTGGTGAGGCCCGTGAGTTGCTTATTACTTGTATGGTTGACATGATTAGTGTTCAAATCATAACTCAATTGTACAATAGGAGAGCTAAATCTAAAAGATGGACTACCAAATTGTGTCCAGTTATGGAAAATAAGTTGGTGGACTCTTTGAAGCTAGCTAAGTCTTGGGATGTGATTATTGCTAGTGATACTGTGCTTGAGGTTCATTCTTCTATTTCTTTTTATATTGATATCGATAGATGGACTTGTTCTTTGCCATGAACGAAAACTGAATGGTTTTCCTAGTTGTCATGTTGCGCATGCTTTGTGTAGTAGTGGTAGAAATGTGTATAATTTTATTGATCCTTTTTTTTCAAGTGGATTGTTTTAAGGAGTTGTACAAGAAATATGTTTATCCAGTGCCTTCAAGTGAAAGATTTGACTTTAATGGTGCCGGTAGTTTGATTATCAAACCTCCTATAACAAAAAATTAACCCAGGCGGAACAAAAAGAAAAGGATTACCTTCTAAGGTGAGAATGTGAAGCAAATCAAGTGTGTGAGGTGCTTAAAATATAGGAATCGCAATAAGAAGACGTGCAAGGCTGATATTTGAGGCTATAGTCTATTCTTTGGATTTGTATTTGAAGTTGAAAAATTATGATAATAAAATGTGATACTTGATATTATGGAAGTAATAAATAAAATTTGTTACATTCTTTTTCTTTTTTGATGTGGTTTTTAGTTATTGAAGTTTTTTTGTAACAGTGTTATTATATTTTTATTTTTTGTGTGTGGAGTTGGTTGGTTTTATTTTTTGGAATTCCGAGAAGGTTTTTGAAAATTTCTTATTGAAACTGTATAATCTTCCAATTTTACTACATAATGTATGCTTTTTTAAAACTATAAATGTTTACAGTTTTATAAAAACTGTATAATGTATTTTTATAATATTTTTTAGTGACAAAACTGTATAAATTTTCAGTTTCATTTACAATTTTGATATGTAGTTTATCTATTTGTTTGAGTAATAAAACTACATAATTTTACAGTTTTAAGGATTATTCAAAAATTGAAAAATTATAGAGTTTCATAAAAAGATATTTATATAATGTTATTAGTGACAAAACTGTATAATTTTGCAGTTTCATTTATAATTTTCAAATGTAGTTCAAGTATTTGTGTGGGTGATGAAACTGCAAAATTAAGGTTTCTCCATAACTTTGAAACAGTCAAGATGCAAACACACAAAATGGTACGAAATTATCCAGAAATTCTTATTATTTTGGTTCATTACATAGCAAATAAATAAAAAAATACATATCTGAAGCATTATCACTATCATCTTCAGAAGACTGATTGTCGCTCTCACTCTTCGAAGATAATGGAGTAGCTTCCTCCATGTCATTAGCATACTTCTTCAAATTGTCATCAATTAACCATCGATATTGGTTTTCATCACACTCACTTGAGTTTCGATTCTAGATAAATGCTCATCGAATTGATTGGGCCTTTTGAAAATCAAATCAATTATTTTCTTTCAATCAGCCATTTTTCGAATCAATGTTCTTTAGTTCTAATTGTATACTTTTCAATTAGAAAAAATGACTATTTATAACTCAATAGATGCATAGATAATTTCAAAAGTCTCCAATAGTTAAATGCTCTTAATATCTCATTCATTGTATATGTCTAGAACATTGTTCTATAATTATTAAATGATATTAGTATCTCATTCATTGTATGTGCACATTGCAATATTGGAATAAATAACTAGTTAGACATCATTATTTTAATAGTTAGACATCATTATTTTAATAGATAATCAATGTATATATTATAATATGTAGAAGGCAATTCACGATGAATTTTAAAAATAATTATAGTTTGAAGTTATGAAACTAGATAATTTTGCAACATAATTTTTGTTTGAGTAATGAAACTGTATAATTTTACAGTTTGAAGAATTACTAGAAACAAACTTATCTTGTATGAAATCATAAGCAATCACAAACGTGATGACAATAATAATCACAAGAACACAAATAATAAGAATAACCACAGGAAGAACAACAACAATAACAACAACAAGAACATCAACAACAAGATCAATGACAACAATCAATACCA